ACGATAAGAAAGCAGAATGAAATAACAGCTGATAACAAGGGAGATGCTTTCTTTCAGGCAAACTGGAGAGAGAGTGTGTATGTGTGGGGATTATCAAAGTCTTTTTTGCAATGCCTGCTCGGCAGTTTACTATTTTTATATGCACTTGAACATTTCATCTTTGCAATAACCTACAGAAACTAGGTTTGGCTCCAAAGGAATTTCTAGGAGATTTTTCCCCTCAAGAAATATGCTTTGCAGACAATGATATCCTAACTTCTCTAGTCCTGCTAATATTGTAAGAGAAAAAGGCACCCTCTCCACAAAGATATTGTGTCCACTGCTGTGTAATTAGGATAGGGCATAGATGAGAAAGAATCTGATCCAAGTCCAGATAAGGCAAGGAAACTCAAAGACTCATTTTAATGAAGAACTCAGGGCATTTTTCTGGCGGTATCTCAAAAGCCTCATGATGTTCTCTGATGCAACATCCAACTTCAATAATTCTATTTTGAACCACTGAAGCAGAAAACTCCATTCCATTTGCCACTGATTGATTGATTCTGAGATGTTTGTAGCAGTAGTGGAGTTAGAGCCATTGGTCCACAATAGTAAATATTGTCCAAATTGCCAAGTCAGTATCAAGGGTGCCATTCCCCAAAGACAGTAACAGTATGGTTATAAATGCAGAAGATGATCAGTCTGATCCAGAACCAACCATGGAAGTGACAGGTACATACTGGTGTTTTTCTAGTTGTTTCAACCAAAACAATACATTCATCCCTATAAATAAGGATGTCTGTGTACCTGTGGCCTTCACCAAAGTAAAAGGGTAGCCTTTGTAAAAAATCATGAGATACAGGCAGAAACTATCTATCTGATTTTAGTGAGTTTGCTTAAGATAACGTGGTCATCTTAAGATGAACTGGACATTAAACAAAGATATTATCTCCCTGTCCAGTTCTCTGCAATAAATAGAAGTGGATGGGACAGGAAGACTTTGCCCCTGAATCCAAGAAGTAACTTAACACCCATAACGCATCCGCTGAGTAACGCATTCCAACAACAATTCTCCATCTTGAAAACACCTTTGAACTGCATACCTGAAACATCTGGCTATATATTTATACATTGTTCCTTCTTACTCTCCCCTGCTGTTTTGTAACAACTTGGTAGATGAAGAGCTCTGGATCACTTGAAAGCTTGCACTCTCTTTTGTGCTATTTTGGCTGAGCCAGATTAATAAAGGGGGAAGCACCATATGCACGCCCTTGATACATGCAGATATTGTCCCCCATCCTCTCCAAAGAGGAAAAGATCGTATCTCTTTGGATCAAGGTGACTGTGCCCAGACTGATTGGAAGCAACCGTAGAAAAGGTGAAGGCCAGTTCTGAAACGAAGTTGACCTTTTCTACTCATATGACTGGGTTATGCAACTAACGAAATGGGAAGAGATGTAATTATCATCTCTAGGGTACCTCCAATGACAGAAGCAGTACCTGATTCTAGACCCCCCAATGGTAGCATTGAACAGTGCTGCTAACTAACTGGAGGTCTGGGGATCCCCGGGCCAAGGCACCATCAGTGACCGACCTCTTTTAATCAAGGACACATAATTGAGAATTCATCTTCTTTGTGACAACACTTGAGGGTTGTCCTTTTCTACAACTGGTACTGCATGAGACAGAACCCCTGGACTTCCTTGTCCTGCTTATTTTGCCCAGACCGTGGCAGTAGCTACTTCTGAAAAAAGAACTAAACCACATACACCTTTAGAATTAGCACAGGAAGCCCAAAAAAGCAAATATTAAAACACAGCAACCCTATTTGATCAATGCTCGCTTATGCAGCCAGCATAACATCAAATTGGAATATTATGAACCTAGCAAGAAATGATGAAGAGAAGACCTGATTTGGGTTCTTAATTTTGCCAAAAACTGGGCTGCAAATCAAATTTCAAAGTGCTGAAAGAAATAGCATGGAATTCAAACCTATAGCATTTCAAGGAGATCCAAATGTGTCTGCCATCAGTGCAAACTTAGCCATTATCACTGAGCAACAAAATTCTTTTTAAAATAACTCAGTTGGGAAACCGCTATAAAAGGGTCCTAATATAACACCACTATTTCCCATCTATATCTAGTTATCTTTTAAATTTTATTCACAAACACTCTTACATGTCGCAAAAGATCAAATTCTGTAATCTATCTTTTAAAATAAACTTAACGGTCTGGGGCATAATCCTATGGCTTCTGTTCTTTTCTCCTTTTTTATCCCTTTGTATGAATTCTCATGAATGGTAATTCAAATGGATAGTGCCCTTACGTACAAAGAAAAACCCAAAACTTTAAACAGCTCACCCAGAGGCACCATAAGGAAGATATATATATCTGGTTTGAATGGTTTGGACATCATTATGGGCATCTGTGATGGACTACTGAGAAGGACGACATGCTTGTAAGATAAATGGTTCTTCATGAGCAATCAGGCGGTACACATTTTCAATCATCATTGTGGCTGATTTCAAAGGCTTCCTGGATAGAATTAGCTACCATCATATGCTTCTAGCATGTTTACGGGTGGGGAAAAACAAAATAAGTCCATCAGTGCTGTACAAACAGTATAACATCTTCTGTTCTTATTTAAAGTCAAGGGCCACACAGACAAAGTTCCTCCTCTAGTCATTCCTCGCTGATACAAACATTCTGCATTAGATTTTATGTGCGTTCCCAAACATGTATCAATCTTTGCAGCTCTTAAATACGCCAGTAAATTCCATTTCTCCGTTGTGATGAGATCACGATCACCCAAAAAGACAATATTCAAGAATTGCCACAGATACCGCTTGTGCTTCTTAATTGGAGGCAGGGGGGCAGAGTGAAATACAAGCTATTTATCAGAGCAAAATATAACTTTGCCTTATTTTCACCAGTGGCATAGAATGAGTGTACTGAAAGTCAATAATAATAATAATAACAACAACATTACTTTGAAATAACGATGGTTTCTGGAGAACTTTCAAACACCACAGGAGGTTGGAAAACTAGGTTTGGAAAGAACTTGACGCAGTTGTCATCTTGCAGTGGGTAAATTAAGAAAGCATTTCCATAAACTTAAGTGGCAGTCCACAAACCACTATGGAAAGACCAGGGTCCAGAGATGTTTATTATCCATTATCCTTTTTCAGACTAACTTGAGAGTCAGAAGGAAGATTGTGTAAGCCAAAACGCAAAAGAATACAGAAATCAAACATTTATGTTTTGAGTTATCTTCTACAGAACTACTTAAGAGTGTCAATCTTCCATTGATGGATGAAAGACAAGTACCCTAATGATACCCCCCATCTCTCTCAAAACTATATCCAATATTATAGAGAATCTGGACCCCCAAAATATCAATTCTACAAACACAGTCATCCTCAAAGAAACTCAGTGACTTAAATGCAAGATTATCTAAATCTGAAAAACACAAGGATCAATCAATGATACAACTGTATTCTCCTCAATGCATTGGAAAGAAAGGATCACTGTTATTAAATATGAATCCCACCCCCATCCCCCCCACCCCCCACTCCCTTTAACAACTTGGTAATCCGCAGCTGCTAAAACAGATGGCTATTTCATAAATAGCTCTTCTCTGCGACTCTTTGAACTACAAGAAATCCAATGCCTCACGGAGCCATTGACCACGGGTGGGGTAGGGCATGGCGGAGAATCAGATGTTGCAACTCTGAATGAATTTACAATGTGATCAAGACTAGATCATGTGAAGAGCAGTGAAATCCAAAACTGTCATTTTGAGGACCATGCACAAAGTTTAATTAAGTGTTACTCCTTTAGCATACTTTTTCCCTAAGCAGACGTGCCAAAGAAACAATATTGTAGTAGTAGTAGTAATCATCATCATCATCATCATCATCTTCTTCTCTTCTTCTTCTCAGGACAAGGTTATGGTTTCCTTTCTCTCTCTCTTTCTACGTTCCAGTTTTAAAACTAAGGTTTTTCTCTTGTTCTGAAAAGACTCAGAGAGCACTTTTCTTGACAAGAGCTGGCCTCAGAAGATGATACATCAAACTTTAAGATCAACAAGAAAGGGAGAAAATTAATCAAGGATTGTTTGTCTTCCTAAATTCCAGCACGCAGCATTTCTCAATAAATCTTGCCAGCATTTTCATCCCCACATAGAAGAATCATCTTCCTAATAATTAACGCTCTACATTCTACAGAGTCAAGAACGGGGTCAAATTGCCTGATCTAATTTCTCTCCTACACTGTCACAAAACCAGGTCATTTTTGCATTTGCAGGCAGTTAATCTCCATGACTAATTTACTGTTTGTTTGTTTGTTTGTTTTTTTGTGAATCTGAACTGATTATGGCACCACACTAATGAAAATTGGGATGCAGAAGGAGCAATATCTGTAGAGGAATTTTGAGTTGATTTTAAGAGCATGCATTTTTCAAAATTCTTCTTTTCTTCCTCGTCGTCTTGTTCTTCCATGTGCCGCTCCCCATCATTTAAGTAGAATAAAATTGTACTTCTTCGTCTCTGCTCTCCCCCATCTATCTACAGCTATCTTCAGAAGCAGCATTCCTGGTAGAGATATGTTACTGATCAAACATAATGGCTTTAGGGAGAGAGGAGGCAGCAAAAGCTGGGGGGGGGGGGGGAAGAAAAGGGGGAAATGCACGCGCGCGCACTCACACACACACTTGCACACACATCCACACACACTGGAGACCACAAAAGAATTTGCAAGTGACAAGAGAGGGAAATAAATCCTTGCTTGGCTACCCCAACACGTCCAACAGCGATTCAGCTGCCTTGAAAAGAGCGAGAGGGAGTGGGAAGCAAAATCCAGTGCTTTTGTTTACAGAGCCACCAAGCAAACCCTCTTAGACCATTCAAAAGAAGAAGAAAAGAAAGAAGACCCAAAGAAGACCGCCACCGAGAACCTTGGCCAGGCAGTGGGAAGCTCCAGCTGAAGATCAGATGCTGTGGGTAAGTGGCATCGGTACTTACATTCTGTCGGAAACTAGCAAACGGCTATCGACCATCATCTCTGGCAGAAAATCCAGCTTGAATGAAGAAGTCATGTCCTTTCCTTCCTTCCTTCCTTTTTTTTCCGTTTTGTTCAAATGCCCCCCCTTGCTTTCCTGCACCCCCTCTTCTGCACACCGCTCTGGCTGGCAAATCAGGAGGTTGCTCCTGCTCGTCGGCGGCTGCTTCGACAACTATCCTGGCCAAGAGACAGGTGCGGGAGGCCTCCCAAGGCAACAGTGAGAGCCACCACTTGTCACATTCTCTCCCCCTCTTCGTGTCCGCCAACCCGCTCTGGACTCTACTGCTGAGCAACTGTCTATACAGCGCCAGGTGCTGAGATCTGGAGGCGGAGTTCCTTTCCCACTGCAGCTAGATTTTAACCCCTGCCACCCCAAAGGGCCCCTACAGGGAGCGATGCACGTTGGGCAGCCTGGGTTCTCTTGAGGATAACAATAACAATAATCGAGGAAGGAGGAGGAGGAGGAGAGGAAGCAGAAGCAGAAGAAGAAGAGAAGGAGGAAGAGGAAGAGGAAAAGGAGGAGGAGAGGAAGCAGAAGCGGAGGAAGAAGAGGAGGAGGAGGAAGAGGAGGAGGAGGAGGAGGAGAAAAAATAAGCAGCAAGTCCTCCCAAATTTGAAGGAGGCTAAG